AAAACTAGCTTTATTTCTGCTATAGCACCATTTGGTCCCCAGGGATGGTTCTAATTTATAGTATTTGCTTGGCAGATACAAAGAGGTGCTGTGTATTTTCTATTTATAACTCATAAATATTGAGATTAGCTTTCACACATAATGGACTGGATTATGTGCTGCTTTCTCTTCACGGCTGTATCCACAGCCTTCTGCAGAAGGAAGGGCACATGGAACCAATCCCAATCGTCTCCTCCTTGCAGTTCTTCCTAAGCATTAATTTGGCAGAGATAGGTAAAGTTTAGTGTCTGCTCTAAAATTTGCTACTTGACAACAGTTCCAAGGCAAGACCTGAGCCCACGCCAGCCAGGGCATCTCCCCATTGAAACTCGGGGTCTGACTGGGAGGAGTGGTGAGATGCAGCAGTGCTGAGGAGATAAGTGGACGGTACATCGCTTGCTACTAGGATACATTCCTGATAATTAGATTGACTAAAAGCTAAGCATGCTAAAATAATACACAGAGAAAAAAACCCAACACATTAGCTTTCAAAGATTTTTAGAAGGAATAAACCATACTGAAATTAATCCTGAAAAGACAATAAGCTATGTTAAGTTTTATACTAATTATCAGCCACTAAGACATGACTTTTTTGATATAAAACATTATTTTGCCAGTAATACATGCAGCCACTGAAGTTCTTAAAAAAGGCATTTAAGCTGAAGGGCCTGGGTACCCATAACAACAGCCTGTCCTGGTGCCAGACCCAGTCTCTTCTGAAGGTTCAGAAGGAAAATGTTTTTCAATGTATTCAGGTAATTTATTTCAACAATTGGCTTGGTAAAAGCAGGGAAAGCTGCTGGAAGTTGAAATGAAAGCTTTTATTTCATGTTAGGAACAAAAATGAATACAAATGGAGGGTATGACTAAATTCATGGAAATCTACAGAACTGCCTGCAAAAATATGTATTACTATTGGGACTCTTCCTATGTAATAAAAAGAAGCACCATATTTATTGCACAGACCACATTTAGCTGCTAGTCAGATGTGCTGAGGGTTAAACAACCATTTTTTCTTTAGAAAATAAGTAAAAAATATCAATAAAACCCAAGATTAAAATGAATGTAGATAAAAGTTTTATACTCATTTAAATCCACATCTGAAATCACTACCACTTTTATTTAAATGAACATCTCATAGGGGAGCTGCAGATAATTCCTGCCCTCTTTCTGCAGCAGAAGGGATCGTAAATCTCAATAAAGCATCGTAATTCATAGGACGACCCTTGTGAACTAAACGGTACTGTTGAGCTGCATTGTGCCCTTATTGAGGAGTTAGTCAGACTACGTCTCTGTGGCCTGTTTGGAGAGGTTAAATTGCAAACTGGTTTTGAAATCTTCCAATTTTGCAAATCATCTAAACGAAATTAAATAAAAACAACCAATACAGTGACTTGGGACTCTAAGTTCCCTTGATTTGCTGTAAGACCTAAGCTTCTAAGTCTCATAGACATTTTGGGTGAAGGATACCTATAAAACCATGTAAGCAGAGTTTACCAAATTCAGACAAATAAAAAATATCTATTTATAGCTTACATTCCTACATATCACCTGCCAGATGTCAGATTCATTAAAAATGCATTTGAGTATAATTTAAATAATTAAAATGTCATTTTAAAACACGCATAATTGTTTGCCAGAGGCCCTTGCTCACCAGAAGTAATGATTTCCACTTGTTGTGGTGACTTGATGAGCTCAGGCTGAACAGTTCCAGCGTTTGAGCCAAGCTTTGCTTTAGTCACAGCCTGATGTTGCAATTAAGTTTAAGACCTGGGAGTTTATTGCTCAGATGGGTAATCTGGTTTTGTTACAAGGAGTCTAATGAATTTGATGATTAGTCTGTTGTCTTTTATTGTCTGTTTCTGAAGTAATTTGTGCTTGGCTTTTGACTGCTAATAAAATTTATGGAAAAGTTCAAAACACTGGAGATAAAGGCTTTTTTTTTTTTTTTTGCAACGGTAGTAACCATTAAATGGGATATATACACTGACTAGCAGGATTAAGGTTTCACCAGTAGAATTTCACCCTGTAGAAATGCTAGGAAAGGTAGTACTTTCAATCTACTTTGCTCTTGCTTTGGATAGGTACTTTCTTAACTGGGCTCTATATCTGCAAAACATAAAACACACGTGTTGAAAATCAAGCATGTTTTTAAGGCCAATTGACCACAATTATGGATGCATTCCAATTTTTAACAAATTACTAAATAGTTGTGCAGAAGACTACTGAGCCACAGCGACTGGTTCTTTGTACTGAGACTAAAGATGACATAAACACTAAAGCTTTCCATGCCGTTGAGGTGCAAAGGTATAGCAGATTATTTACTAGCAGCAGTAATACTCAAGATGTGGAGAGAAGCAGCCAGAAGGAAACTGCAAGGTCGGCCGCCACCGTGCTGCGAATGCGCGGCGGCCCTATGTCAGACCTCCTGTGGGAGCCAGGGCCTTCCTCCTCCTTTCCACAAGGCAGATAAACTACACAGAGAGGCATAAAGGCTGGATGCAAGAGAAAGCAGAGCCCTTTCCAAAATGCCTGTCTGCTGCTTTTCTAGCCTCTTCTCCAAAATAGGAGAGAATAACAAAATGATTTTTGCCTATTTTTGACAAACTTCTAAGATTTTTTTCCCCTGTATGTGACAACTACATAATTTTCACCTCTCGCTAATGGCTTTCCCTTGGTGACAGTAAGTGCTGTTGAGTACATAGGTAACATTCGGTTTGAGATCACATTTGATTGTTAACATTTTCCCACCTCCACTGCAATGCAAAACTTTGAGTTTTGCAAAACAAAAAGCCATTTTAGTATCTAGACAAAATAACAAAACTAGTGGGGAAAGTGTTCCCTAATTGAGATAAAATCCTGTCACCTTCATTACCACTTAGCGGTACTGAACTTTGAGAGTAGGTATTATTTAGTGTGAATAATGACAACAGAATCTCAGCTTGATTTCAAAAGTTATTTCTGCATAATTTATTCAAAAGATAAATTCCCTAATGAAAGATACTGGATCCACTTTAAACCAACATTATTTCATCTATAATTACAGCCTCAGAAATACTGTACTAACTGCCATTTATCACTGTCAGCGACTTTTGAATTCCTGCTACAACCATGATATCCCATTGGGTTTGTTTGTCTCTGAGAGAACATGATGTTTCTAGTTTGGCATGGCCCTAAAAAAGGAGAACAAAACCTGTCATCCTCTAGAAATATATTTAAATGTCCTCTATGTGCTGAAGCACATAGGGGAGAGTAAGCCCACTCATTTCCTCGTAGCTATTTCCAACACAATGCATTATATTTTCCATCTGAAGTTTGTAGAAGGTCTTCAGTTCATTAGTGCTTCCCCTGCCCCTTTCTTTCTTTTCTTATGAGCTGAGTACCCATTATCCATCACATTTCTCGCAAAGCTTGGAAAAAAATATATAGATGCTCTGACTCTTAAGAGTTGCACTTCAGTCAAAAAACCCCACACTTCCTCATTATAAGAATCTAATCTTTCATTAGGAAACAATTAGGAAGTAAATGTGCTTAAGAACATTAATTTGCAATTGGTTCAGCACAAGCATTAGGGAAACTATTAGTGGTGTTTCCTAATTCAGTTTCCATTTTAGACAAGAAAAAGCTAGACTTGATTCAGGTAATGACTACAACAATATTTTGATGTCTTTTACTTTATCGTGTCTGTTGCCATACAGTGAAAGATTTTAGAAGCAAGTAAAATAAAAAAAAAAGATAACTGGTAAGATACTGGTAAGAGACTTTGTTTCCCCTCACTCTGTGAAGGTCCTCCTGTTACTGTTCATCAAAAGTGGTAAACAAAACCTTCAGACTTGCTTTTAGCAGGTCCCCATTTCTCTGTGTATTTTGGATATAACTCTTACCCTGTGCTAAGACTATAAGAAAATACAAGCAAACCACTTCTTTCTTATCACTTGCTAATTCAAAATCAGCAGTTACATCATCTGTGTGTTAGTGACAGCTGTAAAAGTTTTCAGTTCTACACTGGAAACATCTTCATTCTCAATGGTCAGTAGAAACTGTCTCTTTTAAACAGAAGGTCTAGAAAATAAAATTCTCCTGGAAAGATCTCTCTTTATAAAGCATCTTGTTATTTAATTTGGTCTAAGCTAATTGGCAATTTAGACAGTAATTTGTGTCCAAGAATTCCAGACACAGCAGAGAACAGAAGCCTACATGAAGCTCTACCAGGTCGCTGGGCCACAGCCCCACCACAGAGACACAGCCCTGATGTCATGCGTGCTGACCTCACCCTCCCTTAGAGATGGCATCCATCACCTCACTCACGGTGTGCATAGCCTTACTACGAGGAAAGACTACGAGGACTATTTGTAGGTACTGAGCATGTTGGACCTATCAACCTCACTGACTACCACAAGTGCAAGACTCTCATTTTGATTGATGGTGTATACGTAAATGCAGAGCGCTCCCGGCACTGTGCATGGGAGCAATCACACCCGAGCCCTTCAAATGTAGAAGCAATTATCCTAGGACCTCAACCAGCAGTCAGCATGGTGACCTGTGGTGAGTTCCTCTGTTGTGCATTATCAGTAACATTGCAGGGGAAATGCTCACATGTCGTGCGACTAAACAGACTGTAGGAATTGTAGTCAGATTTTTGTCTCTTGCTTGAAGAGTCTGTATTTATCTCCAGGCAACAGGAGAGAAGGAAAGTACAGAGAGCTTGCACTGTCATCTGTTTAACTCTTCAGACTTTGTCTTGCAGTGAAATGCAATGTATAATGAAATTCCCTTTTTTAAGCTAGAATGAGTTCTGATATATTCAGTCATGCCCTAACTTTGAGAAAACACAAACTGCATTTTTCAGACAGTGAACAAGAGCCCTTACCTTCTCAGCCAAGAGATCTCCGATAGAAAGTGAGTTGCTTTTCTGCCTTTACAAGCCTGTAAAACCTACAAGCAGATTTTCATGCACATACCTGATAGTCCACCGACATCCATCTTCTTCAGGTTCTTTGCCTCCAGAATGACGACAGTCAGTTTGCCAGCCGTAGGCACATAACGGAGGGAGAAGCAGATATCACCCAGTTTTTCTTGCTGTGAAAGCAAACAAGACAGTGTTGTGTTTTAATCATTTTTTGTACCTTTTAAAAATACAACTCTGAAAGCTCCACATACATCTCAAACTCCTATTGTTAGACAAAACATTCAAAAGTTGCCCAGCTTAAATCCTTGATAACCTCAAGTCCATTGTGGCAACTGAAGTTCCCAGCAGCTATCCTGTATGGAGCCAAATGACAAGATGTGTGCTGGCTGTAAAATAAGTTATAGCGCTCAGCACTCCTCCCCTGACAACCAGGGTCCCACAAATACTGTTTGCCCTTTAAACCAAGTCATGACTGGGGTTTTTTGTGTTTTGTTTTGTTTTGTTTTTTTAAGGTTGTATTTCAGTGGAAATCAATTACACACACACACATGCGACCACTAGACTGCTTTCTGTGATACAGTAACATGGATCTTTCTCATCACACTTTGTCACAAAAGCAAAAAGTATAAAAAACGCAAAGCACAAAACATTCAGTATAAAAAAAAGACTCGTCTTCTATCGAGAGGCAAAAACCAAAAGGCAGATATAGGCTGAGAAAGCACACAGAGCATCCCTCCTCACATCAGGAAAGGCTGGAAGGATTTGGTTTTGCCTTCAGCCTTGCAGCCTATCATCTGGGATCCTGCCAAATGCAACCTTCTGCAATTCATTGCTTAGTACCTTCCTAACCGTCCTGGCCAAGAGGGAAAGGCTGAATTATGTTCAGAATTACAGGACCTTTGTTTTAAAAGGAGGAGTGATAGATTTGAACTTGCAGATATGACAGAGAGAAGAGTACTGCTAGGATGATCTGAGCTGCTTTCCTCCTTCCTTTGGGGCACAACGGTTTCTCTAGGGGGGTAACAAGGTCGCTTTTGGGACAAGAAGAATGAGGTTATACCGAACAGTCTGATAAAGCATTTCAGACAGCAATGTTTCTCTTTCCAAGACAGTAGTTCTTATGGCACATGTCTGTTTCCACAATTTATTCTGGCTGTAGAGTATAAAGTACATTTCTATCACGATATACTTCTTTGGTTCCAGTGTTGGTTTAGAATAAATTGGAAGGTTGGTTGTTGAAAAGTTTTGGGGGTATATCCAAGCTTTTTGTTAAGACATTAGGTAATTTTTTGCAGGAATTATGCACCTTTTCCCCCGTACCACAAAAACAAAAAGAACATGACAATTTACCAGCTTTAAAGAGCCAAGGAGAAAGAGGTGAAGTCAGAACCTTTCCTAAAAAGCTGGGAGAACACTACTGAGAGCAACTGGCTCACATATTCATGGATGTAGTGGGTATTTCCTAGAGAAAAGACAGCCCATGTCCTGAAGACTTTACCATCCATGTAAAAGGAACCAAAATGTTCCTTTCCATCTGGGAGCTCAAGCTTCCAAGTCATTTAAGAGAAACTGAACTTCATCCACTAAGCCAAATTTTCAGCATCAGTGGCAATTTTTCTCTCAATAGCTCTTACACACAATCACTTTTTATCCAGGTTTTGATAAGCATCTGCAGTATAGCTGTCTGAAGAATGCATGCCAGATACTCAGCTATACTTCAGAGCTTACACCTTCCTTCTTTATCAAAAGGTGCGTGGGCTTGTCTCAGAAGACTCCCTTGGGGATGCAGGATTCTTTGTTTTTCCAAACAAAAGACTGGAGTGGTATATATAAGAATGGCATCATGCAGTTATTGTTCCTTTTAATTTAAAAAAAACCAACATTTAGAAACTGCAATAACAATGCAAAATCTATAAAGTTAAAGATTCTGAATTGATTATTACAACTTGGGAATGAGACCCACGGATTATAATAGGTAGTTCCCTGCAAAACATCAGCTCAGTGATCACCAATGGTCAGAAAACATACAGAAGACACACAGTTATGTATAATTAGGAAATGCTCAGAGAGCACAACAAAATAGCTCATAATGTTAAATGTGTGTATCACGTATAAAAACGCTGTCAGAATGTACATGTGCCAGTATCTTGAAAACTGGTGCAATTATGGTGTCCTCCCCACCTCAAAAAGGATATGATAGAATTAGGAAAGATTCCAAGAAAAGCAGCAGGAACAATCAAATACATGACACAGCTTCTGCAGAAGGAAGAGCTAAGTAGATTAGTACTCTTCAGGCTGGAAAGGAGCTGGTTGGGGAGCAGTATCTTAGAGACCTCTATCTGACCCAGGAGAGCTATAACGATATTATGACCTTGCTCAAAAGAAGAGATACTAATATCAGAATATTTACATTTTTAACTCATATCTGAAATAACCTAAGATGTCTTTCACAGCATGGACTGCAGTTCTATGGAAGGACTTACTATTCCTCCCTGTCTGCATATACTGTTATAAATCCCAGTATAGATTCAGATCATAGTAATACAGATTTCAGCCGTGCAACCTGCATAGCTCGCGCTCGGCTCTAGCAGAGCCTGCGATGGCATGGTGACAGCAAAATATGCTCCTGTTCCCTTGACACTCAGCTTTGGAAGTCCATATTGGCTAGGCTAACGGTGAAGTTGATCTATCACTTGCAGCTTGTTCAGAATGGAAGAAATCAATTGCTTATTGATTTGTGTCATTATGACCACAGCTCACCCAGCCACCCAGTTGTCTCGGCGGTCGCTGTTCTATTAGATGGGAGCCTTGGTTTGAATTAGCACGGTTGATTCATGGGGCTCTGAATAAGACTGAAACGGGGTATATTTGAAAGCTCATTTTGGTCCCCCATCTTAGAGACTTTTGTATTCACCTGTCATCCGACATTCAAGGATTATGCCCTCACCTCTAGATTCACTAGGAGGAGCTTTGGTTGTAGCAGCACGGGAACTTGTATTCCCTTGTATTCCTCAGAAATGTCGCTCATTGACAGACTAGCTAAACATCTATTTTGGAAGGTACTTTTAAATCAATGCCATGCTACTAATTGTTCCTTTGATTGGGCTTTGGTTGGTTTTGGGGTTTTTTTGGGGTTGTGGTGGTTTTTTTTTGTTGTTTTTGTTTTGTTTTTTTCACTTGTATTGAGACTAGAGTGTGTTTTGTAAGCATAAAATGGTGGTGTTAGGATCTGAGCCCTTCAGCAGAGGCTGGAGGAGGCACTTTACAAACAGTTACTGCCATGGAGACCATCACCTCTCACCAGCCTTTCTCCACCTGCAATCTGATTATGCTTCTGTGGTGGGGTTTTTTTGTTGTTTTTGTTTTGTTTTTTTCACTTGTATTGAGACTAGAGTGTGTTTTGTAAGCATAAAATGGTGGTGTTAGGATCTGAGCCCTTCAGCAGAGGCTGGAGGAGGCACTTTACAAACAGTTACTGCCATGGAGACCATCACCTCTCACCAGCCTTTCTCCACCTGCAATCTGATTATGCTTCTGTGCAAATACCACACAGAAGAGTAATTTTTTGAGAGCATTTAATGCATTTTTAGCCTCTTTTAATATAATTTTAGCCTCTTTTAATGTAATTTTAGCTACAGGAAGCATGGAAAATAAGCCAGCTTCACATAAACAGCCGGTTTTCCATAGACCACCATCTAGCCATGGGAAATGGCAGCAGATGATGGGGTCATTCCAGTGAATAACTTGAAGAAAAAGTGTAGGAACCTCTTTAAATGCGTACAGAATCACTTTTAGTACTTTTTTGTTGTTATTAAAATCTGTGTTAACTGCATTTCTTCAATATTTCTTGTACTTTTAACATTTCCTCTTTGCATGACTGCCACAAGTTTTCTATTCCTAAGATTTTTTTTTTTTTTTGTATTTTTTAATTTAAAAAATATTTGTCAGGCAAAATACTGCAAGTGGCAGCACTGTAATGAAGCAACAAAAAGCAATCACTAGAGGTGTGGTTTGCAGGAGATAATTACAAACCCCTGCAGGGCTACAAGGTACAGATGAGTGCTTCTGGTATGGTGATTATCTCATGGAGGTGCCTTATTGTTATTATAAATTTCTTTCAGTCCTCTGTATAAATAATTTATGTTAGTAAATTGCTTTGATCTCTGATGGAAACTGTAAGTTAGTGTTAGAAACTTCCAACTGGGAGGTTCATAGGCTTTAACCTATTCATGTATAATGCCTAAACACCAATCAAAAGACTCTCTCCATCTAAGCAACTTCATAACTTCATTACATTTAAAGAGAATGCAATGGAGCAGAACATAAATGATATAGACAGCACTGCTAACACTTCCTCAGCTTAGAAAAGGCTATTTGAAGTCCTGTTGAGAACCTGGACTTTTTAGAGACAACTCTAAGTGGCTCCTGCCTGTCTCATGTTTCTTCTTGTATTTGTCAGTAGTCATTTTTACCTTGACAGTACACTCTACTAATGAGCTACAGAGAAAAATGCTATTTATGCAGATTACTCTCATTCACACTGCAGAATCTCTAGCAGTGATATCCATCTTCTTAATATAAACATTCGCCACATTTTTGTGGAAGATACTATGAGAAAGTTGATGCTTGCAGCTCTCTTGGTAAAACAAAACCAAAATAATGAGCCACAGCACAATATGCTTTTTCCTAATTGGATCTAAGACTCCAAAATAGTCAGTAGAGGAAGGATATAAACACAGTGAGGTGGGTTTCCAACTTCAATACCTGGTTTTGATTGTGGATATTTGCATAAGCCTGAGAGAAACACAATAGGACGTGGTTTATGGGCGAAGATGTTCTTCCACCGATCAATACTTACAATGGAAGCTCATAATGTTCACTGTATAGTTTTTGCACCAAATAAAATGTTTTAAAACTCTGTGGAGAAAACAGGGACAGCACAAAGGTGGGTTATAAGCTAAATTAGAGTCTTCCAAATTCAGGAAACCCAGGTAAACTGTAATGACAAAATCTCTAATTCTAATTCCCACATTCACAGGCTTCAGACAGTTTTGAGGTCATCATATTCTGTCTACACACGGAGATCTCAAATCCCACAAATTCCTTCTCGTGGCACATAAGCCACAAATACACTAAGCTGCAAAGGTGTCACAATAACATTAGTAACAGA